CGTCAATTAGATCGTCTCGTTATTTTACCTGGAAAATACGGAGATGTTTAGGAGAATAGACTAGATAGCTAGCTAGCTAACTACGTCAGGCCAGTATGGCTAGAATGACAGTAGGTTAGCTAGCTTGGTCCTTAGCTAGACTAGTTAATTCACGAGTTTCAGTTCGCTAACTAATTTTAACGAGCTGGATTTAAGAATAACTAGCTAACTACCTTTGACATATAGATCTTGTTTACCTGAGTGGGATGTTTTGACATTCACATGGAAACGTAACGTAATTGATCATTGTTTTCATCGAAAAAAATCCTTCTAGAAACAACGTCGTACAAGCGTTGCTGCAGACTAGCTAGCTGGCTATCAAACAATCTATTTGTTGCAAGATGGCACACCATAAACCATAGTTTGGTACTTGAATTTGCACTCCATAAACTGTTGATATTGTGGACGATATTGATTTTCACAGTTTCAGCCATATGTGAATTTTGTTCATGTGTTTGTGCGTTTTGTTACTTTGAAACTGTAAAACAAATTATTACTATCGATTAGTGCCTTAATTGAATAAAGGTGTATGTTGTTTGTTGGTGCTGGACATAGAGGTTTTTTGATTAAACAATTCAGTTAATGTAAATAATGGCATTGACAAGAATACTTAAAGACTATGGAATAATTTAGAGTGATTAAACTTTCTTCCTCTTTGCCCCCTTGTGGAACAGCAAAGAAGTATGGGTGAACCAGGTCATATAGAGGTGACTGTCAAGACTCTGGACTCTCAGAGCAGAAGTTACACAGTTAGAAGTGATGTAAGTACCTTTCTCAGGAGGTCACAGGAGACCAGACAAGCTCAAAACTCAGATGCATCTAAAATCCCCTAAAATTCTGGGATTTCAGTAGATTCTACTTAGTGAGCTTCTTGTGGAGTGAAGCATTCTCTTTGCTCTTGCACTCTCTGTCTGTCTCTCACTCTGTTTCATGATCTCTCTCAGTTAACAGTGAAAGAGTTTAAGGAACACATTTCTACTTCTGTGGGGATTCCTGTGGATAAACAGAGGCTGATATATCAGGGCAGAGTACTGCAGGACGAGAAGACACTGACAGAGTACAGTAAGTAACACAGCCGCTTCACACCTCCCAGACATATGATCTCATTTAGTTTGCACAGTTACCACATAATTACCAAACTTGAGGATTTAGTGCAGTAAGTGGGTCTACTACATAACACATGATTTGAGTACAGTAACACAAGTGGTAAATAGTTACCCCTCATGAGAATTGAGTGCCGTGAGTAATATTACACGTGATCTGAGTACGGCTACACAGTTAATGTGTGGACTGAGTACAGTAATAGGACTGCCACACAGTTGACCAGGATGAGGACTAAGAGTGGTGAGTGCAGATACACAGCATATGATTTGTGTACAGTAACACAACTCTTCCACAATGATCACACATGTGATCTCTGTGCAGTAACAGAAGCAGTACACAGCTACCCGACATATGGACATGGGGTTCCCTCTCATCCTTCCTCTGACATATCCCTATCATTGTTCTGTCTGTCTCTGTTAGATGTGGATGGTAAGGTCATCCATCTGGTGGAACGGGCCCCTCCTCAGACCACCCACCCAGGGACAGGAACAGGGGGTGTGTCCGGGGCAGAGGGAGGGCCCCCCACCTCCCACTCGTCCTCCACCTCACAGGGTGCCTCTCACGTGCCCACACACGACCGCAATGCCAACAGCTACGTCATGCTTGGGACATTCAACCTGCCTATGAACATCATGGACCCTCAGCAGATCCAGGTGCAGAGGGGCAGCATACACTGTCGCTCTCTTTGGCCGCTTTGTCTGACACAGCCTTCTGTGTGTGTGAGCGTGTGCGCGCGTGTATGTGTGTGTGCGCACACGTGCATGCGTGTGTGTGCGTGCGCGCGTGTATGTACAGGTGTGTGTGCGTGCATGTGTGCGCGCACGTTTGTCTGTGTGGGTGCATGTGCCCGGGTCTGTACGTGCGTATGTGTGTTTGTGTGTCTGGCTCTTTCTCTCCCTGCTGTTCTCATCATGTTCGAGGAGCTAGGGTAGTTGATTGATATCGAGTTGCCTCATCTGGCTCCAGGTGTTTTATGGCCGTAATCATACCAGTATGGCTCTGCAGGCTAGTCCAACTAGTGAGCCATTAATGGTGCTTTGTAAGCTGATACTTAGAACTGAGCTGATTAGTGAAATGTTCGACAAGCAGATATATTTGAACCATAATAACAGAAAAAGAAAGAGCTGGACATCTGTGAAGGCTTGTGGACTGTGTACATGTATGAGTGTTGTTTGAGCTCATTCTTGTTCCTCTCTGTCCCCCTGTCTCTCTCTCAGATGTCAGTGCAGCAGATGATGTCAGGTTTGGGGGAGAGTGGGAGGAGTGCCAGAGTCAGTACCAGCACTGGAGTATGGAAGCCTCGCTGTCCTCGTCTGTTATTTTTTCTTGTTCTCAAAACTAGATGAAGATGATAGATTGTTTTACTGTCTGTTCCAGAGTAATGGGTCCGTGGATGTGCACATTGACGTGGACCAATCGGTGCAGAGCGAGCCCAGGCTTAGACTGCTATTGGCTGAGAACTTGCTGAGGGACACAAATGCGCTTATCCACAGATTGGAGGTAAGGTACAGCTGTTGTGCTGAAGAGCGACATTCAGTGAAACTCTACAACACAGCTGTTCAGCCCATGACAGTGCACTGTGTTAGTGAAACCATAAATACAGCAAACACATTTGAGAGTTGCATCCCCTTCCTATAGTGCTGAGCAAATCTTTGGTCTTGGAATCTGCCGGAGGTTTTCAGTAAATTTAAGATAAACTCTGACACAAGTTTCCGAAGTGTTACAAGCAAAAAGAGTGCTGTTTTGTGACTAGCTTTTTTCCAAAACACTGATGCTGATGTAAGTAACTTTACTCTCTTCTTTTCTCACTTTTGGGTTTCAGGGTCATCCCAGCAGCACTTCATCTCAGCAGGATTCTGCTGCCCCTCCCTCTTCTTCCTCACCCACCCCCTCACCCTCGGCTCCACCCATGGACACCTCCCCACCGCCACCCACACCTCCTCCCCCTCCGTCTTCCTCCTCCTCCACTCAGACTGAGGGCCCCCCGCACTCAGGACCCAAGTAAGATACAGATTTATAGTCAATCCATCTGTTTATTCCTATTATGTTTGTGTAGTTATTAAATTTGCAGTTAATATGTAAATGCTGTACGCAGTATCCTGAATTCTGTTGGTGCATATTATGTCTTGTACAGTATTGTATTGGCAATTTTTGTTCATTTCAGGTACTACTGAACTCAATGTAGAAAAAAAACATTATACAATTGAATAAAATATTGAATAAAATCACCACTATTGAAAAAACTGGCATTTTTCTAAAAAGGCTCCAATTTGCCACAGTAGTGTATTTTGGACCACTGTGGGTGTGTCTGCAGGCTTTCTGTCCCTCACTCTCATCCTTCCCCTGTGTCTCTCATGCAGTCACCCCAGTCCAGCTGAGTTTGTGGAGGTGCTGTCAGAGCTGAGAAGGGTGGAGGAGAGACTGCAGCCCTTCATCCAGAGAATGCACTCTATTCTGGGCTCTGCCACCAGTGCAGACTACAACAACAATGTAAGACGCACACTGAATATCATACCGTGGCGTGTCATACTTCACCACACACCTGTGCGCATAAACCCTTACACTCCTTATCCATTTTGGTACACGCATTTTGTCCTCATCAGTGTTGTGTTCATTTTCTTCTGCAGACACAGGAGAGAGAGGAGGACCAGCAAACTTTGAACCTTGTTGGGGAAGCCCTCCGTCTCCTGGGCAATGCTCTGGTTGCCCTGAGTGATCTTCGGTGCAACCTGTTGGCTCCCCCTCCCCGCCACTTGCACGTGATCCGGCCCATGTCTCACTATACCTCCCCCGTCCTGCTGCCAGGTGGAATGCACCACATTCCTATACCGGTGGGTTATTGTGACAGTGGTGAGCATGCATACTAAGTACAGTGTCATTGTGACGGAGTGCTGTCACTACGGTTGAGTATGCCCTCTGACTGCCATACCAACGAGCCTGGCTCTTTGGTGTCGCGGTCAAAGTCGCATGTTTGGTACCCTGTAGACCCGGGTTCAAGGCCGGGTGGGGTGACTGCTCTCGCCCTTCGCTACAAATGGTGTCAGTGGTGGAATGGCTGGCTGCGAGGCCATCGGAGGCGTGCCCGTTGTGTGAGCCGTATGAGGGACCCCCAGGTTAGGTTGACCCCGGTGTGAGGGACCCCAGAGATGGGTGAAGCACAGTGTGAGGGACCCCAGAGATGGGTGAAGCACGAGTGAGTGGGGCACCCTGGGATGGGAGAAGTAGACCCGGGTTCAAGGCCGGGTGGGGTGACTGCTCTCACCCTTCGCTACAGTCATAACAGTGTAGTGACTTACCCTGACATGTTGTTTATATGTAAAATGTAGGGCCTTTTCCATGGATATCACTTTGAACTGTAGTAAGTTTAATGCAGAACTACCTTGTAACGTGTAGCTGAATTTTCAAAATTTCAAATTTGCCAGCAGATAAATTTAGGAACCACTGTGACCATGACCGCCAATGGCAGGCAGGCAACTGAAGACCAGCCTCAACCCACTCAGCCTGCTGACCAATCAGAGCAACAGGGGCAGAGGCAAGCCCCACCTCCACAGCCTGCCTCAGCAAATCAGCAACCAGGACAAGGGCACACAGGGCCACGCATGATCAGGATCAGCCACCAGACCATGGAGCCCGTGGTGATGATGCAGATGAACCTGGATGGTGGGTTCCCTCCTCCAGTTCCACTTTCTTTCATGACAGACATCTTTATGGATTGCATTCCTGTGAATCAGAGAACAAAAACTTCATTGAACCTGTACAACAAATGTAAATGTCTCAGATGCTTCCAAACTTAAATTTATATTTTAAATTCTCCCTATACATGAACAAACATGGATAAAAATCTTCCAGTGGGGGGTGGCAGTGTAGCATAGTGGTAAGGTGCAGGGCTTGTAACCAAAAGGTTGTTGGATCAACCCCGCTGGGGCATTGCTGCCGTACCCATAGGCAAGGTACATAACCCACAATTGCCTAATATCCAGCTGTACAAATGGATAATAGGTAAAAATTGTAACATATGTAAGTTGCTCTGGATAAAAGTGTCTGCTAAATGACAATAATTCAATGTAATGTAATAAGAGTCTAAGGCTTTTCTTCTCTGTCTGGAGGTCAAGATATAAGGCCAGGTTGATGAGATGCAATCAGGAGACAAAATAAGGGATGTCAGTATAGATTAAAACACATGGCCATGTTTTGGACTTAACCAGCAAATGCCAGTGGTGCAATTTAACATTTAATACCACCTTTATAATACCGTGTGTGTCTGTGTCTGTCTGTCTGTCTGTCTGTGTAGAGTCTGGCAGTGGACCTCAGATGTCAGGACAACAGGGTACTGCTGGGGCCGGACAGACCGGTGAGAAATTATTTTGCATCATAATTTACTGTTATCGCTAAAATATTAAATCTGCATGTCTACAAAAGTCTTATCTCCTAACTCCCATAGGTATTGAGTAGGCATGAGAGGAAGTGTCATTATTTCGGATGTGCAAAATCAGAAAATGATAAAATGTTTCGTGGCCCTGAGAACATAGTGTAAAATGAAATTACCACATGATGTAGATTAAAACTGGTAATATAACTGGTAACAGGTAATATATTTACCAAACATATGTCATTCTGTCCATTAGTTCCCTGCAGTGCTATGTCAAGCCATTACTTCATTAAATGATTAGTTTGCAAGCCATTGTTTCTATGGGTCACTTTGCTGCCAAATTGTGATAGTCACTGATATACCACTGGTAAATACAATGTTCATCTATGATTTTAATGTCATTGTCTATTTACAAACAAATATTGTAACTGAGCCATTCCACATCACCAAGAGCTAAGTTAACAGATGGAAACATTTACCGTGTCTCTTGAGAAGTAGTTCCTGTACTAAGCCAGTAACTTAACTGTATTGTGTAATTTAAATATGAAATAAACAAAAGGGTTTCAAATCATTGCTGGTTTGCTAGGTTCACTGGCTAGCTAGCGAATCCAGCAGCACCATTTATATAATGTTAGGAAAGTTACAGCATGTATCGTAGTTAACTAGGTGCTATCTCAATTTCATAATTTTGATCCCTTTTCTTATTTTTTGTAGCTAAATAGTGTTCAGCCAGTTATGGAATCCTTTTTATAAAAGTCAGTATGGCACTCAAACACCTGGTACATCATGAATATTTGCACAGCAAGGGGTTTGATATCTGAAGAAAGGAAAGAAAGAAAATCACGTTCAATCGTGCTACAGTATATTTTTGTTTTCTTATTAGCATAATTGGTCAGGGAGTAACATTTTATGATAATTTAGCCTCATGAGCTCCATTTGGCTAAACATATCATGTTATGAGCTCATCTTGCCTCGTGCCTAGCAATGAGAATTGAATGACTACTATTGAGATCGTGCCCCCCTCTCTCACCGGCATGTTGATAGACAGAATGTGACTGCATGTTGTCTCTTGACAGGCACCACTCCTCCTGTTCATATCCCAGGCCTGCCCCCGGAGTTCATGCAAGCCATCGTGCACCAGATCACCCAGCAGGCCGTTGCCATGGCAGCCGCAGCTTCCGCGGGGCAACAGGGGCAACAGACCGCTCCTGCCTCCGGTGCAAACTCTACTGGCACTGCCCCCGCGGCACCTCCTCACCCTCCCCAGGCCAGGGTGGTCATCACCCGGCCTGCCTTTGCCCCCCGGGTCCCCCAGGCCAATCTGGGTACCAGGGGGGCAACAATCAACTTGAGGGCATCTGTGCCTCCTTCTGCGGGACAGCAGCCAGGACAGGTGAAGACTGCTCTTTTAATTGTTCAGTTTTTTGCTCAGTGGTGTTTATCTTTCCTGCTTTCTGTCGTGCTGTTGTTCCTCTGGCTGATTGAAATAGCATGCTTCTGGTGTAGCCTTTTACGTGGCTGTATTTTACTGGTTGTGTTGCACTAGCATTTTTGTGATTTGTCTTCTTTTCCTCATTTTCAAATGCTCCAAGTCACCCTGGGTGATGGTGTAAATACTACTACTAACACTGGCATGTAGTTTTGTAGAGTAAATGGTTGATATCTTCATAAACCGATTGTGTAAAAAAAAAAAAAGCCACAGTGTGAGGACTGAGGTGAAACCAGGACATGCAGTCTTCCTGGTTGTGACAGCTTCTGTGGCTGATACTTTGTGGGTTCACTTAAATTACCATAATGCACTTAAATGAAACTGCACTTTAACTCCTAACTCTATCTTTTGGTCTTTGCATGCGTTTCACCGCCTGTGTGTAAGTGTACTCTCCAGGCATGTGCATGTGGGTGTCTCTGCTGACATCTCGCCCCTCTCGCTCTCTTTCTCAGGCTAACTCCCTCCCTCCTTCCTCTCTCACTCAGATGATCAACGCTCTTGTAGGGCAGCTCTTGATGCCAGTCCACATGGGTAAGCCATCAGTCTCTCTGCCCCCCCATGGTCATTTCCCCTTGTGCATATCTCATTGTTGGTCCTTTCAAAATATATTGAGGTGTCTGGCCCAATGAAGTTGTAATGGGTCCCAGAGCACTTATCATCTGGGAGGGCCACAGTGTCTGGCCATGTTCTTTCTGCTGCGTGTCTTCATAGCTGAATAGGAGTTTTTGTTGAGCTGGTAAATTCATTTCATGTTTCTGTAGCATAGTAAGCTTAAAAACCAGATGGAGTTAGATCCTGAAGCACTGGAATTGCCCATCCCTGAGGAAGGTGTTTCATTTCAATACATAACTATTCACAAGTTAAACAAATATTTTGTATAACTTATATAACAGCTTAAATTGAAACACATTGGAACTGAATTTAGTTCCTGTATTGTAAAGCGTTTGCGCATTGTATCTTCTTGTCTGTTGACAAATGGGAACTTCATGTTGGATTGCGCCTCCGTTAAATTGGGAATTACATTAGTTTGGCATCCAAGTATTGATATGTTTTGGGTCATTTTAAAAAGGAATCTAGTGTTTGATTGAAGAATGAACCACTGTTACTCTGAGGCCGAGCTACATTGAACAAGGTGTGTGACTGATCTCCTGTAACTCCCTTGTTTTTACTCTTCAGCAGAGCATACTTCCACCGCTCCGTCATCCCATTCCTTTACCTTCTCCTCATCCTCTTCGTCATCCTCCTCGGCATCCACCTCCACTTCCACCTCTCAGCCGACCTCGTCCGCCAACACCTCCGGCCAGACGTCGACTAACACCACCAGCACCGCCTCCACTGGCCATCCCACCAGCACCCCCTCCCAGCCTCAGGAGGGGACCCCCGAGGCGGGCCTGGCCCAGCTCCTGGGCTCACTGCTGGCTGGGGGAGCAGGAGCCGGAGCCGGAGCTGGAGCCGGAGCGGGCGGGCCTGGCGTGCCTCCCTCCATCACGGTCACCATGCCCGGTGTCCCTGCCTTCATTCAGGGAGTGACAGACTTCATCCAGGTTGGCGTTGGCTTATTTCTGCATGTGGCATTGTGGCTTCTGGTTATTAACTTGAAGGTTTCAGGTTGAAATTCCTGGTAGGGCAGTGCTGTTATGCCTTTGATCAAGGTGCTTAACCTAAATTGAGTAAATACTCAGTGGAATAAATGAGCGATATCTTTTGGAAAATTAAAATGAACTCAGTTTCCCTGGATAAGGGCACCTGCCAAGATATTGTTGTAATTATTATGGGAAATAACCGCATTGACAGTGTTACTAAAAGCAACAAGAACTACCATTATCATTGTTGTTGTTATTGTGTTTTCATGCAAAATATCTGACATCTGACATTTGTGACTATGAAATGTATGACTGCTTTTGATCTTCCCCTTTCTCTTTCTCTACTTCACTTTCTGTCAGGCCACCCAGCCGGTCTACACCCCACCCCCTACCGGACAGCAGCGTCCCCCTGCCTCAACTACACCCACCCCCCCTCCAACAGCCACTCCCACCCCTGCCTCCACACCAGCCCCTGGTGCGGGGAGCCCAGGAGAGACCCTGAGCCCAGAGCTCTTCACTGGCATTGTTCAGGGGGTGCTGTCCACTATGATGGGCTCTCTGGGAGCCCCCCAGGGTAACACTGAGAGTATCGCCCAGTTCATCCAGAGGCTGTCTCAGACCAGCAACATTTTCACACCCGGCACTGGGGATGCCATAGGTGATCTTCCTCTCTCTCAATATCTGAGTAAATTCTGAATAGCTAGCACTTCACAGGGCCACAGGGCCATTTTTTTTTTAGCTTTTACAGTGTTAGAAGTATGAAGGTGAAAGGTGGCTGCCATGTAGCGCACACTGCCTGTAAATGCCATGGTACCTGGGCGGAAATTCCAGAGAGGTATCACAGAATTTCTCAGCTTACTTGCTTACAGCTTGTTTATTTTGGAGAACTCTTTTTCCACCTCTGTACGGTGACAAAGGTGTTTGGTCTTAACGGGTCGCGTGCTGTCTCTTTCCACGTGTGCAGGGTTCTTTGGAGACCTGCTGGCCCTGGTGTGCCAGAGTTTCTCTATGCTGGACATGGTGCTGCTGCTTCATGGGCAACACCAGCCTCTTAGCCGCATCCAGCCTCAGCTGACCGAGTTTTTCACAGAGCACTATCTACACGGGAGAGAGCCCACCGATGCTAACATCGCTGTGAGTGTTGCTGCACCAGTACTTCACTCCTCTAGTTTCCCTCTGCTCCCACCAACATTGCTGTGAGTGCTACTATACCACTACTCTACTCCTGTGCTCTCCCTCCACTCACACCAATATCTCTGAAATCTTCTCTGTTGCACCACTATCTACTCACACTCATACAGCAAGTAGGACTGTAGTGCTGCACCCTTCAAATGGGACTTTACTTTCATTACCACATTTAAGCTGTGTGAAGCAGTTCGAAAAAACTGATTAATAATGATACCGTTCTTCAGAGAATGAAATCTCTGGTCTGAAATGACTCAGAGAGAAGAACAGAAGAACCTGTAGTGATGAGAACAGCCCGATGTGTCAT